TTCATAGACCTGTATTCTGACAAGTCCACTCCCAAATATCTGAACACATTCACTTTCTGCATACTCCTTCCTTCTAATCTGATATCCAATGTGATATTATCTAAATTTTTTGTTATTCTCATCACCTTGCTCTTTCATATGTTCACTTTTAATTTCCTTCTTTTTCATATTCTCCCAAATTCGTCCATCAACCTTAGCAGTTTCTCTTTAGAAACACCCAAAAGCACCAAGTCATTGGCAAGAAGCCACTGTGACAACCCCTACTTTGTATTAGATTTTTTATCTTTTAATCCCTCACCTCTCCTCAACACCCTAGCATTCACTTCTGTTACAACCTCATCTATAAATATGTAAAAAAAAAAATACAATGACATCATACATCCCTGTCTAAGACCTACTTTTACTGGAAAATAATCTCCTCCTCTCCCATATACCATAACCTGAGCCTCACTATCCTCATATAAATTCTTAACAGCATTCTGTAACCTACCACCTATTCCATACACTTGCAACATTGCCACATTGCTCCCATATATGCCCTATTATATGCCTTTTCTAAATACATAAATGCAATGAAAACTTTCTTACCTCTTATCAAGAAAAGCATTATCCTTTTGAAAGACACTATCCTGACCTGCAACTCAGAAAGTCCACTGATTGCCACTTTCCTCGATCTTTCTCGACAGGAATGTCATTAGCACTTCTTCTTTCTGCCCCTTTGTGTTGAATAACCCACAACACAACAGGTCTTAGGTAACTCAGAATTCTTCAACTAAACTGTTTTGTCATGACTCACCAGAGGTAAACACAGTATTACTGGACCACACTTGACAGGCAGTATGGTGGATGTCTCATCCTGTGACATCACATGGAAACTCTCTTTAGCAGTTCTTAAGCCTAATATTATAGGTCTTTCCATGAGATGAGATTGTGCCACTATATGTGCAGTTTCTGCAGCATTTTGGATGTGGCCATTAATGATTCAACATCTTGAGTTGTCCCCAAGATATTCCTATGAAGGAATCATCCTTCTGACTTCCCCAGTACCATCACAGTGCAAATATAGTGGAACCTCTGCTTATGAGTGCATCCGCATGCGAGTTTTTCCAAATACAAGCAGTCGCTTGGTCAATTTTTTGCTTCCAGACGCGAGCAAAATTCCCAGATGCGAGTGGGCCTCAAGAGAGGTTCCTTGATGCTGGTGAGGGCTCTTGATGTAGGGAATTGGATCTCAGTTGTTTGTTGGACTATATTATTGAAACTTGGGCAGTGTATGATGGAAAGATGCTTCTTAGCTTACACCAAAAATGAAAGAAATCGGACCATAAATAATGGAGTTCACTTCTCAGCCATTAGCTCCCCTTAGTGTTATATTTTCATATGGTTTTTATGGCTTTATTCTCTTTTTTTTTTTTTTTGTCTCATTTGATAGAATGGAAGATATACTACAGAAATAGATATAATTTTGACTGGTTTCACGACGAAAAGTACGTTGAAATTGAGCTCAAAGTAGCAGAAATGTTCAATTTTTTGGCGATGTTCAAGAGTAAACAAATGACATCGCCATTCAATGCCTGTCCGACTGGCACTGCCCCTCAACCTTCATGTATTGGAAAGCTCTTCAACACACTAGCAAAAGTGGAAGCAAACATCATAAGGTAGCAGTGGCAGACAACATGAAGCAGTAGTGGCAGACATAAAGCAACAGTGGCAGACAACATGAAGCAGCAGTGGCAGACATCATGAAGCAGCAGTGGCAGACACCATGAGGTAGCAGTGGTAGACAACATGAAGCAGCAGTGGCAGACAACATGAAGCAGCAGTGGCAGACAACATGAGGTAGCAGTGGCAGACAACATGAAGCAGCAGTGGTAGACATCATGAAGCAGTATTGGCAATCATGTAAAGTAAAAGGACACAAGTGCAACTAATGTGACATTTTTATTGTTGCCACAATAAAAATGTCACATTAGTTTCACTTGTGTCCTTTTACTTTACATATTGTCGGTAATTCTACCAACTTTATTACATTGGCAAACATGAAACAGCAGTGGCAGACATCATGAAGCAGCAGTGGCAGACATCATGAAGCAGCAGTGGCATACATCATGAGGTAGCAGTGGCAGACAACATGAAGCAGCTGTGGCAAAGTGTAGCAATTAAGTGTAGCATTAAGAGTGTAGCACTTATAAGTCACTCTGTCTGACTTTTTTGGGTTATCCTAGGTTCTCTACACATGTAGTCAGGAGCAGGAATGGCCACTGTGGTGGCCCTATAAACCCCAACAACAACAATGGCCGCTGTCACCACCACTAGCCACATACGTAATGACATGTATTTTATTCATTCTAGTGTATATATCATGTTTCTATGTTATTAATATTGTTTATTATATCGTATTACATGAAATGTGATAGATAAATTAGCCGGAGAGTTGATATTATGGAAATTATTTAAGTATTTTCTCGTGTCTGGAATTCCACTGGAACGAATTAATTCCATTTCAATTAATTTAAAAGAGGAAAATTCACTCGACTAACCAGTAAATCCAGATGCAAGCAAGGTCATGGAATGGATTAACCCTTAAACTGTCCAAACAAATTTACGTTCATATGCGTAGTGCTCCAAAAGTGGATCTGCGTTTTTTTACGTATTTTCAAATATAACAAAAAAAAGTAGATCAAAGTTTTTTTTTACACGTTTTCAAATGTAAAAAAAAAAAAAAGGAAAAGAAGATTTACTTTTTTTTACGTACTTTCAAATGTTGGAAAAACATAGATCTACATTTGGACAGCTGTATAATCCTACGGGTTTAGCACTCCCCCTATGATTATAATAATTATAATACATTTGGACAGTTTAAGGTTCCACTGTACTGTTTAGGGTAATTTTTCTCTATGATAACATGAAGTCAGTTGATGTAGCAGTATTGGTATGGTGTTAACCTGTAGCAACATAACCCCATAGATACCGAGGTTATATCATACAGACCCCTTAAGGGAGGAGCTTTGATTCCCATGAGGGCTCTTGATCCAGGGATTTTGATCTATTCTCCTTTTGTATTGAACCTGATTGCCTTCCATTCCTTCAGACACTATGATTCCTGTGGGTTTAGCTCTCCTCCCATGAATGTAATAATAATCATTTACTGTACCATAGTTAATTTTATTAGTCTAAATTTTAGATTAATATCTTGTATATTACTATATATATAATCCTATGCATTTTCCTCTTCCTTCTTCCTTGTACCTTGAGTTATCCTACAATCCTTTCCCAAAATATTCAGGTGTATAACATCTGCTTTTTCATGTTGAATTCATCAGAATTATAATTGGTGTTATTGTATAAATTACCTTATTACTAACATGAGTGCTAGTACAGTACTAACAATGCAGTTGCTGTTGTTGCTGTTGCTGCTTTTGGCTGGCATGTCACTACTGCTGCTGCTACTACTACTGATATCTACTGGTACTGCTTTGCTGCCTACTGCTACTATATTCTACTGGAATTGCTTCTGCTGCTGGTATAGATATCCTCTGCTGATGTTTAGGCTAGCCAGTGATGATTGTGGTGCTGTTGTATTATTGTTGGTGTTGGTATTTATATTGTTGCAGCTAGTTTTGGTATGAGCCACAGCTGCTGCAGCTAGTTCTGTTGAAACATTGCTGCTACAACTAGTTTTGCTAGAACCTACTGCTGCTGTAGCTAGTTTTACTGAAAGATACTACTGCCACAGTTAGGTACTCTTGCTGAAAGTTGCTGCAGCACCTAGTTAGAATTGCTGAGCATTTTCCTAGCTCCAGTTTGTTACTGTTAGTGAAAACTGATTCTGCTTTGGCTGTTTCTTTTGATGATGCTATCAGTGCTGCTGTTACATCTAGTTAGTTATTGAGAGCTATTGCAACAGTGGTGATATTGACACCTGTGTGCCCCTATATTTATGTTCCCTTTACAATAGCTTTAAGTAATGAAACCTAGTATGTAAGTAAAAGGAAGCAGTTATAATATGAAACAAATGATTTCAGGCTCAGAATTAATGATGGGATTTCATTTACTGAACTAAACATTGGAGAGAAATAGCATAAAATATTGACACAATGGAAACAGACAAAATGCAGTTATATGTGATCCTTATTAACAATATTAATAAGGATCTCATAACACACCTAAAATGCTCACTGCATGAGCTTGTTAGGTGTGCTAAAGCTTAGCTTTTAGGTAACTTTAAAAATGATTACACAAATGTACAATTGACAAGGGTTGGATTTGAACCTGTCTAGCATGGACCAGCCGGCCTACTCTATTGCTCTATTCTATTTCTATGTGGGGAAACTGATCTAGAAGCTTCTGGAGAAGAGGCTACAAAATAACTGAGCTTCTTGCCAGGAAGTTTCTAGATTGGTTTCCAGTGTAGTAACAGAATGGAGCACTAGAGTAGGCCTGCTGATCCATGTTAAACAGCTCCTTCTTAAATCCAACTCTGCTTGCTTATATATTTGTCTATCTATTTTCTAAAGTTTCCCAAAGTTTAAGCTTTAACACACACCTAACCTGACTCTGCACCTCACCATGCTCCCTAAATACACATGCTCGTGTATCTCTGACTTGAAAAAAGTCCATTGTGTGAATAAAGCATTGTCATTGCACTGCATTTGTGTGTGTTTCCTACACAGACACAAATGTATTGCTTGTTATTCAATTTTTGTTTGTTTTTTTTTTTCCTAAACTCATAATTTATCTATACTCATGATGACCTTGCCTTTGTCCTTTTCTAAAACTAATGTACATGTATTTAGTTCTCTATACTTTTTTGCTCCCAGTTAAATTATCTCCCATAATTTTGTAATTCCAGATGAATTATTTTTTACCTATTGTTCAGTTTTGTACTTCCATTTAAATCTTTTATAGTACTGTACAATATTTATATTGTTTATAGAGTTATAAGGATTTTGTTTTATATTTTATTTTGAAGTCTTTTTTTTCTTTAACCTTATTTTTAGAGCTGCTGCAGCAAAATCCAAAGGAAGGAAGAGAGTTCAACAATAGTAATAACTCTTATGATATTAGTCAAAATTTTAATAAAGATCTAACTTTACAATCATCAGAAAAGCTTTATAAGTGTGATCAGTGTAATTCAGTGTTTAATCAAAAATGCAACTTAAAAAGACATCAAAAGTTGCATTCTGGGTACAAACCTTTCATATGTAAAGAATGTGGCTTATCATTTTATGAGCAAGATTCTTTAAAAAAACATAGCAGAACCCACACAGGAGAGAGGCCATATAAATGTGAAGAATGTGATGCATCCTTTGCTCATAGCGGTCATCTAAAAACTCACAAGAGAATTCATTCTGGTGAGAAACCTTATGTTTGTCAAGAATGTGGGTTGTCATTCTCACAGACTGGAAATCTCAAAGTACACATGCGTGTTCATACTGGGGAAAAGCCCTATATTTGCAAAACATGTGGGGCAGCTTTCTCAATCAGCAGTGTATATAAAAAGCACATCATGGTCCATACAGGTGAACGCCCATTTAAGTGCTCTTTTTGTGGTGCTCGATTCTCAAGTAATTCAAATTTATCAAGACACAACAAAATTCATACGGGGGAAAAACCTTTTAAGTGTGATATTTGCAGTGCAGCATTTCCAGTAAAGAATTCCCTTGATCGCCACACAAAGTCCCACACAGGAGAGCGGCCATATTGTTGTGAAATGTGTGGTGCTGTTTTTTCAGATATGTCTGATTTAACAAAGCATCGTAAAATACATACTGGGGAAAAGCCTTTAAAATGCGACAGTTGTGGAATGGGATTCTTTTCAAAATCACAGTTGAGAATCCACATCCGAACTCATACTGGAGAAAAGCCCCATAAATGTCTTTTATGTGGTGTATCATTTGCACAGATTGGCACTCTTAATAAACATAAGAGAACTCACACAGGGGAAAAACCTTTCAGATGTGATGAATGTGGATCTTTATTTACAGCTAAAAGCAGTTTAAAGAAACATGTAGAAAAACATACATATGATACTTCACCGCAACATGCAAATACAGTTAGTGACTCTGATTTTCAAAGTGTTGAATCTCAGAATGTGGCCTTTTACGATATTCAAAATAAGATCTTAAATGATAATAATGTTTGCAATCAGGAAACATTACCAGTCTCATCCAGAATATTAGGAGTTGCATCAGTTATGACTTCATCAGTGGAAATTGATGGTATACCCTTAAATGCAAATTCTAATATCCTCAATCCAAAGGATACTTTTCCAGCAAGTTGTGATAACACTTTGTCAGTTAGTTCTCCCTCAATAACAGATCATTCTGCCTTAATAGCATTGGATTTAGAAAATACATCTCAAATGTCTCAAAATATAATAGCCGGAGGGAGATTTCCTGTTTATAATTCCTCATTACATACTGTTAATATAGCTCTACCTGAGTGTCTTTCTGTGCCACTCCGCAGTCCTGATACTTTTTCAACAAGAAGCACTTCAGCACTTGCATTCTCAGATTTGCAGAATGAAACTGAGTTTTGTAGTTTGGAAAGAAACTCGTCCAATATTAATTCCTCACCTGCTGCATCTGCTACACTTCATTACCTTCAGTCTGTGGCTGGCGTTCCTTCAGAAGCCTGTGTTCAAGCCACTCTCACTACCAGCACTTCAAATCTAAGGTTGCCATCAGTTGAGAAGTGGTAAATATATCTGTAGCTTCTCTTATTAAACCAAGAGCTTTGAAGTATTGCAGTGTATAGAAAGATTCATGTTACTGTATTTGAACAAGTATTTACTTAATAGATCAGGACAAGGAAAGGAAGCCAGCACAAGACTAGATTATACTTATGAAAATAATTTAAGATATAATTTGCAAGGATAGTAAATAAACACTATTTTTTTATAATTTTAATTAGTTTTAATAATCTGATTATTGTGATTAAGGGTTTTTAACACTTATGAGTTTATAAGCATTTAAACACAAATATTAAATATTAGGTTTGGGAAATAAGAAAGACAGTACTGTATATAATGTTCTTATGTTTGTTATTGTAAGTACAATATAAAGCAAACTAGAAAATCTTCTCATTAGAATTCCAGTACTGTTTAAACAACTGTGTTAATGTAATGTATTTTTAACATTATTATCCAAACAACAATGTTGATTTATTGATTAAACTTTTAAGGGTAATACTAAAATATTAGTTGTATCATTTTTATACAACAGGCATGTGCAAGTGTGTTATACAGGAGTGGAGGCAAGTAGCTTTTATGTCTTGACATGCTGTTGGAATGTAAGCAAGGTAACTTTTATTGAAGGGATTCAGGAAAGCTGGTTAGCCAGGCTTGCATCATGGAGCAGGGAGGTAGAGTGCCTGCACTCTGAAGTAGGGGTGGGGAAATGTTAGTTTGAAAGGGCATCTGAGCTGTAATGTTGGCATGCCTCTGGCAAGAGTGTTAGAATGAATGATAATTATTTATTTATTTATTTATTTATTTATTTATTTATTTATTTAGTAATTTAAGCATACATACAGAGGTACAAAAAATACAGGTAAGAGCAGCATGCCAAAGCCACTTATATGCATAGCATTACGGGCTGGCTTAAAATTAACTTAAGATTAACTAAGCAATGATGAAATCAGTGATAAAACATTATTGTAAACAGATAACTATAAAGCACAAATGAGTATTACAAAGACAGGTCATATGGTTGCTTGCATTGCTGTACATTGTCGAATGGAGTACTATTCTGTTAGGTTGTGTATTTAAAAAAATAATAAAGTTAGATTGGGTCCTAGGTTTAACATTTGTGTGATATAATTGTGAGTAACATATAGGATATACAATTTATAAGGTTCAGTTATTCAGTATTTATTTGGTTTTGAGTGAGTAAGTGATCTTTGAGAAGAGACTTGAATTTATAAACAGGTAGTGTTTCTTTTATATTTACAGGTAATGAATTCCAGATTTTAGGGCCTTTTATGTGCATTGAGTTTTTGCATAGCGTGAGATGGACACGAGGAACATCAAAGAGTGATCTGTGCCTTGTGTTATGGTCATGTGTTCTGTTGAGGTTGGCAAGGAGATGTTTGAGGGGAGGGTTAATATCAGAGTTAAGTGTTCTATGTATGTAATAGGTGCAATAATAAGTATGGATGTTTTGTATGGTGAGTAGGTTGAGTGTTTTGAATATTGGTGGAGTGTGTTGCCTGTAGTGAGAATTTATCATCATTCTAACTGCAGCCTTTTGTTGGGTAATTAGTGGTCTGAGATGGTTAATTGTTGTTGAGCCCCATGCACAAATTCCATAGGTGAGATAGGGGTAAATAAGAGAGTGATAAAGGGCCAGGAGGGCTGACTGTGGAACATAGTACCGTATCTTCGATAGTATGATGAAAGTATGTCTTTTTTTTTCGGGTCACCCAACCTCAGTGGGAGACAACGGGTGTGTTAAAAAATTATATGCGGTTAATGCAAAGTTTTGAGGAAACCAGGCAAACCAAACTGTTATTGTTATTTTTTTCAGTATGTAGAAAAAGATTATATATTTATTATCTGTCTAGCAGGAAAAATGAGTCAATCTAAAACTAATTGTAAAAGAATTTATTTTTACTGTATTACATTGTTGAATATTTAAGGAACATTTTATATTATCGCCCTCTTATCCTCTTTTTCACTTACAGGATGTCGAGTTACAATAAGTTGATGAATTTCTAACTACTTTCCATGAGGAGTCAAAAAATCACAAGTAAAAATTTATGACCTTTAATATATTGTTCCTTAGAACATATCAATAATAAAAGATTAGCTTTTCTCTCGTATCTTACGAGTGCACAATATTTACAGAGAACTACGTACAGGACCTTAAGGTTTCATTTCTAATCACACAAATGAAGTTACAAATTATTACCCAGAGGTTTTCAGATCACCAGTGAATATGTCAGAAAGTTGACATGGGCTGTAATATACAGATAAGGCCCCCATGAGCACCTTAAGTATGATCTAAGGGAATATGGCTCTGTTACAACATAGGATTTCCAAGCGATGCACCTTGAGCTGTAGATCAGCTACTACTGTCAATAGTGGAGGGAGGGGTGACCTAACATAAGGTAGATCACGTGACATATGCTTAGAGGGTGAGCATGTTGACCAGAAACTGACTGTTACACAAGTGCTTCACATATTGCACTATTACACCTAATCTGAATAATTTTACTACAGTGGACCCTCGCCTAATGATATTAATCCATTCCTGAGAGCTCAACGTTAAGCGAAATTATCGTTAGCCGAATTAATTTTCCCCATAAGAAATAATGGAAATCAAATTAATCCATTCCTGACACCCCAAAGTATGAAAAAAAAAAATTTTTACTACATGAAATATTAATTTTAATACACACAAACTGAAGAACACATGTACAATTACATGACACTTACCTTTACTGAAGATCTGGTGATGATTGATGGGATGGGAGGAGGGGAGAGGTGGATGGTGTTAATGTTTAGAAGGGGAATCCCCTTCTATTAGGACTTGAGATGGCAAGTTCTTTTCCGGGGTTACTTCCCTTCTTCTTTCAATGCCATTAGGACCAGCTTGAGAGTCACTGGACCTCTGTCACACAACATATCTGTTCATAGAGGCCTGTACCTCCTGTTCCTTTATGACTTTCCTAAAGTGTTTCACAACATTGTCAGTGTAATAGTCACCAGCACAGCTTGCAATAGCTGTGTGAGGGTGATTTTCATCAAAAAAGGTTTGCACTTTAAGCCACATTGCACACATTTCCTTAATCTTTGAAGTAAGCAACTTCCTCAATTTCTCTATCCCCTCCTCCGGAGCAGTTTCCTCAGGTCTGGCCTCTTGTTGTTGAAGATGATCTTGCAGCTCATCAGTGATTAGTTCTTCATTGTCCTCCTCCACCAACTCTTCCACATCCTCCCCACTAACCTCCAACCCAAAGGACTTCCCCAATGCCACAATTGATTCCACAACTGGCATACACTTCTCAGGGTTAGCCTCAAATCCTTCAAAATCCCTTTTGTCTACACATTCTGGCCACAGTTTCTGCCAAGCAGAGTTCAAGGTCCTCTTAGTCACTTCCTCCCAAGCCTTATCTATAATGTTTACACAATTGAGGATGCTAAAGTGATCTCTCCAAAACTCTCTTAGAGTCAATTGAGTTTCTGAGGTCACTACAAAGCACCTTTCAAACATAGCTTTTGTGTAGAGTTTTTTGAAGTTTTCAATGATCTGCTGGTCCATGGGCTGCAGGAGAGGAGTGGTATTAGGAGGCAAAAACTTCACCTTAATGAAGCTCATGTCTGCAGAAAGTCGCTCTGCCACATCTGAAGGGTGACCAGGAGCATTGTCTAATACCAGGAGGCACTTAAGGTCCAATTTATTTTCCAGGAGGTAATTTTTCACAGTGGGGGCAAATGCATGGTGTAACCAGTCATAGAAAAGGTCTCTAGTGACCCATGCCTTACTGTTTGCCCTCCACATCACACACAAATTAGCCTTGAGGACATTGTTTTTCCTGAACACTCTGGGAGTTTCAGAGTGATACACCAATAAAGGCTTCACTTTGCAATCACCACTAGCATTAGCACACATGAACAGAGTAAGCCTGTCTTTCATAGGCTTATGTCCTGGGAGTGCCTTTTCCTCCTGAGTAATGTAGGTCCTGCTTGGCATTTTCTTCCAAAACAGGCCTGTTTCGTCACAATTAAACATTTGTTCAGGTTTCAATTCTTCACTGTCTATGTACTTGAATTCCTTCACATATTTTTCAGCTGCTTTTTGGTCCGAACTGGCAGCCTCACCATGCCTTATCACACTATGTATGCCACTACAATTCTTAAATCTCTCAAACCAACCTTTGCTGGCCTTAAATTCACTCACATCACCACTAGTTGCAGGCATTTTTCCAATTAAATCGTCATGCAACTTCCTAAACTTTTCACATATGATCGCTTGAGAGATGCTATCTCCTGCTATCTGTTTTCGTTTATCCACACCAATAACAGTCTTTCAACATCTTCTATCACTTGCGATCTCTGTTTCGAAAACAAAGTTGCACCTTTGGCAAGAACAGCTTCCTTGATTGCCTTTTTCTTGGCCACAATAGTAGCAATGGTTGATTGGGGTTTTGTGTACAACCTGGCCAGCTCGGAGACATGCACTCCACTTTCATACTTCGCAATGATCTCTTTCTTCATATCCATAGTAATTCTCACCCTTTTTGCTGTACGGTTGGCACTAGAAGCTTTCTTGGGGCCCATGGTGACTTATTTTGCAGGTGCAATCACTAAAAACGCTGGCTGGCTTGTAAACACTGGCACCCACGGAACAAGTGAGGCGGGATCAGGCCGCACATGGACACGTCTCGAACGAATCGCATTAAGCGAGTTTTTTAGCACTAGCCGAGGCAAAATTTTTGCATTAACCCTTTGAGGGTCGACAGGCCCTCTCCGAAACTCGTTCTCAGGGTCGGCCAAATTTCAAAAAAAAAAAAAATTATTTTCTCTTATGTAAAGATAGAGAATCTTTTCCCGATCATAAAGACACCAAAAGTTTGGAAATTGATAGAAAACTTACGGAATTATGCTCTCGCAAAGTTAGCGGTCTCGGTGATGTTTACGCATCGGCGATTTTGCCCACTTTGAGCCCCATTTTCGGCCAATTTCGCTGTACTAGTCGACAAAAAACATGAATATTTCGCTAGAACTCCATTTTTTCTATCGAATGGGTGCAAGAAACCACCCATTTATGAAATTCAACTATCCAGTACAGTGGTCAGAATTTAGCAATTTTGCCAATTTCACACAAATTTCAAAAGATGCCAATTTCCAAATAGGGTCCAGAATAAACAAGAAAGACATTCCTGGCACTAAAATGACATTT